ATGGGGGGCGAGGGGGGGAGGGGCTGGGAGCAGGGCTGGGAGCCGGGATGGGAGCCGGGATGGGAGCCGGGATGGGAGCCGGGGTGGGAGCCGGGATGGGAGCCGGGATGAAGCCGGGTGGGAGCCGGGATGCTGCTGCTGCTGCTGGGGGATCTGCCCGGCCTGAAGGGGATCTGAGCCCCCCGGGTGGGCTCCGCGGGGCAGGTGCGGGGAGCATCCCCCGCCCCATCCTCATCCTCATCATCATCCCCATTCCTATCCCCATTCTCATTCCCATCCTCACCCCCATTCTCATCTCCATCCCCATTCCCATTCCCATCCCCATCCTGACCCCCATCCCCATTCTCATTCCCATCCCCATCCCCATCCTCACCCCCATTCCCATCCCCATCCTCACCCCCATTCCCACCCCCATCCCCATCCCCGTGGCTCGGGGGTCTCTGGGTCCCCGCACCGGAGAGAATTCCCGGCTGTCCCGGGCACGCCGCTGCAGCCAGCCCAATTTTCCTCTTTCGCCATAAAACGCAGGAATTCCGAGCTGTGACAAGGCGACCTGACAACATGAAATGCAGGCTCGGAGCGCTCGTGGCTTTAGGTAATGAACGTCTGGCCGGAGCGAGGCAGAAAAGCCCAATCCCAAATGTTTATGTCAACAAATCCATCCCCGGTGACTGAAGGTGTGCCCGGCTGGCCTGAGCCGCCGCTCAGCAAGTCCGGATTTTAAGGATCGGGATAATTTATCGCGTTGTTTTTAATGTTTATTATTTATTGCTCTAATTATTTTTCACTTTCTATTGGGAATTTAAAATATATGGATGTACCTGGAACATGTGCCAACTCCTTTCAGTCTCACTCAACTTCTAATCATCGCATCTGCTTTGTGTCAGAAAATACTTTGGGAACAATTTAACTTTGCATTAAAATAACTAATTAAAGCCACACCTCCCCAGCCTCTTGCGAAAGTGGGGGAGGAATTTCAGTAAGTGCATCGCTTTTAATGATAGCATTCTGATTTCCCTGCCTCGCTGTAATTTATTCAGTTACAGATCTGCCTGCGGGGCAGCTCCCATTAGGACGATGATGAAGTCTCATGAGTAAAGCTTGACACCTCCCTCCTAATAAAATATAATACTCAATTAACTCGGCCTTTCTGAAGGCTTTAATTGGAACAAGTTAATAATGGGCGCAGGGTGAATTGTCATGCCATCCGCAGGCTCCGAGAAGGTGTCACGGATCCCTCCTGCCTTTCCCATAGCTGAGGTTGTAACCGAGATTTGGAAGCTTTTCCTTCAACACTCTTGTGTGCCGCAATAAATCTGTATCCATTTAGGGATCTATCATAACACACGCAAAGCTCCCGCGCTCAAAGAATTTCCAGCAAAAAGATTTAGCTGTAATCCCTGACACAGCTGATTTATACCGAAGGTTCAAAAACACCGCTGGTTTATTTATAGCCCAGCCCGGCTAAGGGAGCACTCGGGACAAGCGGCCGGGAAAGGGCAGGGCCGGGGGGACTTCGCCTTGCCCTGGATCTCGGGGGTGATGCTTCGGGAAAAGGCATTCGGGGAAAGAAAGGGTTTTTTTCCCCGTTTTTACGCGGCGGTAAATTCTAATTTGAAGAGCCTGCGTGAAGACTGGACTCTGTCCCGGCTCTGCTCCCTGCTTTTACGAAGCGGGGGTGTCCCCAGGGTTTTTCTGGGAGTCGGGAGAGGGTGAGCAGGGCGAGCTCCGCGGGTCCCTGCCCTCCGCACCCCCGCCCCGCAGCCCGCCTGGCCGAGCCCCGCATTCCCCGAGCCTTCCACCCGATCCGGAGGGATGCTGAGGCAGCCGGGATGCGGCTGGGAGCCTGCGGGACGGGACGGGACGGGACAATTCCCGGTGTTCCAGCGGCACTGCCGGGAGCCGCACGCCCGGAGCGGGGGGAAGACCCAGAGGGGCAAACACACCTGGGCAGGGGGAAAAGTTCTTCCTCTAGAGTACAAAACACCGAAAAATAAGGAAAGCTGTAACGTTTATTTTGTAAAAGACACCTGGTCAGGGGCAAAAGACATCTGGTTAGGGGGAAAAGACACCTGGGCAGGGGGAAAAGACACCTAGGCAGGAGGCAAACACATCTGGGAAGGGGGCAAACACACCTGGTTTGTCCCCGGGCCCCCTCCTAACCCCAACAGCCCTCCTGTGCCTCCATGCGGTGGCACTCGGGTGTGCCGAGGTCCCCTCGGCTCCTCTGATCCCAGCCCCCCTGGCCAGGGAAGGGTGTTCCAGCACCTGCTCTCCCAGCCTGGCCCCAAAGCCGTGGCACGGCACAGCACGATGGTGCCCTGAAATGCAGCAGAAGCACTGCAGGGCCCCGCCAGGTTTTGCCTGTCCCAAATTCCCCCAAAATCCTTCGGGAGTTGAGATCCGTCTCCCCCGAAAGCACAGAGCTGAGAGCCCCCAAGGAAAGGGAAAGGCACGCGAGCTGAAAGTGATGGAAACATCAGCGGAGCATGGCGTTGTAAAGAACAGAGGCGCCTAAAAGAGGTTGTTAAAAACAAGGAAGCCTCATAAAAGCTTTGGCTTTTGACTCCGAAATGTTGACTTGCAATTCACCTTCATGCGCTGCAAATTTGGCTTTAAATCAGATTGAGAAAGGGGAAATAATCATAAAGGCAACCCAAACATTCCTTTGAACTTGACCCAGCGGTGCAAAACACACACGGAGAGAAGGCACCTTTCAAAGGACTCCAAACACTAACAGACCCACACGCGATTAAACATGTTTTTTCTTTTTTAATTTAATTCGAAATAAGAGATAAGAAATAATAAATCTTCAATAAAATATATAAAATTGTACAAGGCATCCCTTTCAAAGGGATTCTCCTATAATGGGAGATCGGGGTGAGGGGAAGGGAGAGAGGAAGTTCATCTATAGTGGGTCCCAGGCAGCATCAATGCCTGGATCAAAACAAACCAAAACCAGCAAAACCTCGTGGCTTTTTTTTTTTTTTTCTTTTCTTTCCATTTTTTTTTCTGATTTTTTTGTTTGTTTGTTTCATTTCTTTCCTCCACAACAGCATGCTAAGAAAATAAATCCAGGAGAAGCTCTGACTTCAGTGCTCCACAGCCTTGGGAGTAACTTCCTCATAAAGTTTAGCAAGAGTAATACAAATAATACAAGAGTTACAAGGAGAAGCCTGGGGAAGCTGCTGCCAGAGCTCCCACGGGGACAGGCAGGTCACACAGTCTCTATCACCTCACTGTCCTGCTCGTGGGGCTGATTGTGACACCCGGATCTCTCTTTAGAAGGGCTTAAAGCACGAGTCACTTCTATTGGCATCCTCAGAATGGAGGAAAACTCAGGGGGTTCTTCTCTTTAACACAGGCTGTGGCAAACACAAATAACAAAAACCCCACAACATCCCCCAGAAGGGTTCAACAATCCTTTATGGGAACAACCCACGTCTTTCTCCCCTCCCTCCTGCTTTTCCAAGAGCACTGCAGAGCCAAGATTACCTGGCTGCAGCCAAAAACTTCTAAGCATGCCAATAGGAAGAGATAAAAACCAGCCTGTTAAGAACCCTCCCTTGCTCTTCACCTCCCCTGCCAGTGCTTTACAAAGGCTGAAGCTATTTATACACAGAAAGGCATTACAGGAGCCACGCTGGGGAAAGCTGGGCTCTACATTTAGGGGCCCTGCTGCTCATCTCGCCGAGGTTCGGGATGCAAAACTTTGCCCTCCCCCGAGAAATGCAGGAATTTGCTGGCTCTGAACTTCACTGAGACTCTACCGGCTCTAGTTTCTATTTACACGTCTCTAGCTACGGGCTCTGCTGTCTTCAAAAAAACAACCAAACAACAAAACTTCCATTAGACCTTTTTATTTCCCTCCCCCCTGCCCCCAGGTGAGGTGATGGTAACTTAGAGCGTGGCTCCAGGACACTCACCCTTCTTATTCTAAACCCGTGTTGGGCTTCGCCAGGAGGAAGGTGTCAGGGAATTTCTGCCTCCGTATGATAAATTTGCTTTTTCACCCACTCTTTTTTAACCTAGTTTTACTTGCACTGGATAAACCCCCTACAATTACTCACAAATAATTTTTTTGTTGGTTTTTATGCCTTTTTTTTTTTTTTTTTTTTTTTTTTTTTTTTTTGGGGCAACACCTTGGGGCTCCAAGCACCCCCC